CAGGTGAAGCAGATTATGGAGGAAGCTGTCACCAGGAAATTTGTTCACGAAGACAGCAGCCATATTGTGTCCTTTTGTGGTGAGTAACCAAACATACAAATGAATCACACAGCTTTTCATCATTTATAACCTCTTCAGATTGAACAATTCTGCAGTGCTGAAAAGAGCTTTTGTGTTTCTTTTATTTTTTTTTAATGTGTTATTACTGTGAAATCTTTGCAAGCTTTATCTTTAGTTACTTGTGTCATCTTTATGTTGTAGACTTGAATCTTGTTACCTTACAATGTGCTAATATTTGTAGGTTATATTTTATATTCTCTGATTAAATAAATACATGATGAAACAAAGTAGTACATACAAAGGCAATTAGGCATAACAAAACTGACAAAAAAATCACCAGAATATAGGAATCGTTGTGTTTTCGATAATTTAGAAAGCGTTGGAGTCTGTCATGTTGAACCGCCATGTTTCTACAGTAGCCCAGAATTGACAAACCAAACACTGGCTCTTGATAGGGCCTTTTGTTTATTCCCCAGCCAATGTAGTTTCTCCTACACACTTCACAGTCCATTCTCATTCCCAGGTTACAATACAGACGCGAGCTGTGTTCAGTTAGTTGCAATCTGCAACTCCTACTGGTTCTTCAGGTTCTGTATAAGTCACTGGGTTATCACACTAGTTTAGACACAATTCAACTATGCAGCCATCTTAAGAATATAATATTTTACTCACATTCACTCAGTAAAATGTAAAGTTAAAGGTTTAACTTAAAGATCCCTTCTGATTGGAACAATAATGTGTGTTTTGATATGGCTTTCAGCTAAAAAAAACATAATTTCTACATTAAAATCCTTAAGAGGTCTCTACTCCTTCTACCTCATTAAAAAATGTTTCTGTTGAACACAAGATGTCTCCTTCTTTACTGTAAGACACACATTCTCAGTGTTCGTGCACTGATGGCTTCAGGTTTCTACATCACACTTGTGTAAGTTTCATACTGGACCAGGTTTTACTTCCAAACTATTTGTGATGTCACAAATCATGCTCGTAGGCCCTGTC